CATCACAGAAAATAAAAATCATATTTGTTCCAATTGAAATTTACGCTCAGCATTCATCGCGCTGCATCGTTCAACGAACTTATCTAAAAGTTATTTTCTATTCTGAAAACGCCCGCTTAGGAGGTTGAGGTTTTTGAAAATTCTCATGAATGTTAGATAGATAGGTCGCAGGCCGAAACGTTTCCACTCAAGCGCTGCACGCTATGATGTGTGTATGTGGTGAACGCGGCACTCACATGAAATATAACCATCACCACCGTGATTTTGAGCGAACGTCAGCGGTAATATCTGTCGGTAGCGCGTTTGACTATCTATTGCCTGTAATTTGGAACAGTTTGCTTTAAAACGTTGAACGCGCACAACACACAATCACTGAACTTATTTTATCGCGCAGAAGCCGACTATTCAATTTGATTACCGTTCATTCATTCTCTGCCGCAAATTATTCCAATTCAAATTGCAAACGAATCCAACAAAGTGTATGAACTGAAAGAAGAGAACAATCAGTGCCAACTTTTTTTTTTCAATTCATACACGAAAAAAAAAGACAGTTCTCGAAATTAGATCGGCATTCATACGCGTAAATATTTTGCGCTATTCACTTGATTAGCACACAAAGAAAGTGCGAATGCACTCGTTGGCTGTTTGTTAGTTTTCTATTATTTTTTTTTTCATGTTAAAAAACTCTTACCAAACCGTACAACCGTAAAGCTAAATGTAATTGTGTTTGAGGTGCAGCGATGCTGTTGCCACTTGTGCACTAGATCAGTAGAGCAATCGTGGACTATAATCCACACAAAACGGTTTGGTTTCAGAGTCGGCGTGCAATTTTTTTTTGCTAGTAAAATACAGTGAAAATGGATTTTATTCTGTCGAAAATCATTAGCCGTTCGACGCAAAGTGTTCACGATAACTGTGATATCACAACAATCGATGCAGCCGCCGATTTTCTACCCAAAACTCTAACCGACAATGGATTTTGTGACGATACGCCATTGTCATCCGATATTGATACGGTAAAATAAAAGTGTAATTAAATTGTGTTTTTTGCTTCGGTGGCAATATTTGCTATTGTGTTGATTCGATTGAATTTCACTGTGTTCAGTGAGTGTGCGATCACACGAAATTGGTTCAATCAAACACAATTAAAACCAATTGTTCCGAGAGAAAACGAATCAGCGAACACACAATCAACCAATCGATCTAGTTTCACTTGAACGATTCGTTTTTATTTCTCTTTTCTCGCACGTTTGCGAAGGATTTCATTTGGCAAATGTGTATTTGGTCAGTCAACGATGGGCCGATATATATGTTATTAATAAATTGTTGGCAAAGAATCAACATTTCATTGTCGTTTCACTCGAACCGTTTGTTTTTTTTCTGCGTTTATTTTCTTTCGGTTGCGGTTGATTCATGCTCATTATTTGCAGAGCAGCGTATGTGATCCTCGCACATAATGACATTGAATTTTCATTTACAGCGTAAACACATTTCTATGTTTCATTCTGTTCATCTCATTCCCTCTGCACCCGCTATTCAAATCCATACCGCTTCGTGCAACTAATGTCCCATTCTATTTACTTTCTCCCTCTCTCGCTCTCGGTCTCTCACAAGTTTTTATGTTTATTTTTCGAACCGTGTGTGTATTGCGTCGGTTTTGAGTCGAAACGAAACGTGTTTACAGCCTCTCGAATATAGTAAAATGATTGTTTCTTTTCTCTCGGCTCCTAATGGATGCGGTCTGGTGTTTGTGTGTTGCGTTGTTGGGCCAAGTGTGATGATTTCTCATTTTTGCATACGATGACGTTAATGTCAATCGTTGGCGTTGTCTTAGTGTAGCCATTTTCGATGCATATTTCGTAGGGGGACAAAGAAAATTCGTTCGATATATTTTCCTCAGTATTACTGTTGCTCTCAGTGTGTCTGAACGACTCAAGTTACACTGACTTTTTAATATGCAGTTTCTAAAGAAGTTTTCTTTATTCCGTTTCCAGAACAAATCACCCAGTGGTGGCAACCACGTTTCGGCTAAAAGCTCATTAGCTCTCGGCTCGGATATTAGTGGCATTGATGGTAAGAATAGAATTTTTATTTTTAAAAAAAATCCCAATTCTAATTTAACATTTGTATGCTTCAGCCGACAACACTCAGTCATCCGGATTCGATACAACCATTGACACAAGCTACAAAATTCAAAATCCAAATGAAACGTTCGGCGATCTGCTCAATGGATTTGGAGAGTTAAAATTGAATACACCACAACGTGAGTTAATTGCTTTTCTGTTTAAATTACGACGCAATTCATGTGCACTCGCAACGATGCCTATTCCAAATTTTTGTTCATTTTCTTCGTTTATTTTCAGTTTATTTTGTTTTTAATTTCAAATTTTTCGTTTTTTCTTTCTTCTGTTATTATCATTTTATCATTTGGGCAGGCTTAAAACCAAGCAATATTGATGCAAATAATTCGCTGTCATCAGACGATGAATTGTTTCAAGAGTGTGAAAATGGCTTTGATGTGGATTCGACAGCTGTGATGCCAAATGTCACATCGGTTCGCGCACACTCATCGAATATTGATCACAATGCGTTTGATAAAACCATCAATTTTTCGTCGATCACAGCAAATTCGACAGCTGGCCTGGCAACCACGTCCGATGTATCGATGCCGAATGAAAAAAGTGACATTCTTTTCCAATCCGGCTTTGACGAGCATACGATAAATGGCGAAAGTGTTTCGAGCACACATGCAAACTCAGTCATCCAGTCGAATGCCGTTGAAAGTGTTCTGGAAGTGCCGAGCGTTGAAAGTTTTGCCAAAACACAGGAAGAGATGGTTCGTGTTGAGGAAAAACCCGCTCAGATTGAACCTGTCGTCGCAGAGTTGGTTGAAACTGAAAAAGTAGCTGATGTTGATCAAACAGCTACCGCACTTTGTCAGGAAGAACCCAAAACCACAGTTTTATTGAATCAAACCGTTGATATGAATGTGACTGCTTCAGGTCAATCCGATGGTGCTAACGATACAAACGAATCACCGGCTGATTTCAATCAAACTCTCGAAGTGACGCCAAATGTTGCATCAGATCGCGCGCACTCATCAAATGTTGATTCGAATATGTTTGATAAAACCATCAATTGTTCGTCGATCGCAGCGAATTCGACAGCTGGCCTAGCAACTACACCCGATGTGTCGATATCATTGCCGACCGATAACAGCGATATCCTTTCTCAAACGGGAGTTGCCGATCAAACAATAAATGGCGAAAGTATTTCGAGCACACATGCAAACTCAGTCATCCAGTCAAACGACGTTGACAGTGTTCCTGATGTGTCTAATGACGAAAGTTTGACCAAGCCACAGGAAGAAGTGATTCGTGTTGAGGAACAATTCAAGGCTGAAGTCGTAGTCGAAGAGCATGTTGAAACTACAACAGAAATAGTAGCTGATGTTGATCAAATTGCTGATGCATCATCACAGGAAGAACCAAAAACTACAGTTTTATTGAATCAAACTGTTGATATGAATATGGATGCTTCGAGCCAATCCGATGGTGTCAACGATGCAAACGAATCACCGGATGATTTCAATCAAACTCCTGAGTTGACACCAAATGTTACATCGGATTTCGCACACTCATCAAATGTTGATTCGAATGTATTTGACAAAACCATCAATTGTTTGTCGATCACATCGAATTCAACACATGAACTGGCTACCACGTCCGATGTATCGTTGCCGAATGAAAAAAGTGACATTCTTTTCCAATCGGGCTTTGGCGATCTAACGATAAATGGTGAAATTATTTCGAGCACACATGCAAACTCAGTCGTCCAGTCAAATGTTGAAAGTGTTCTGGAAGTGCTGAGCGTTGATAGTTTTGCCAAAACACAGGAAGAGATGGTTCGTACTGAGGAACAACCCGCTCAGATTGAAACTGTCGTCGCAGAGCTGGTTGAAACTGAAAAAGTAGCTGATGTTGATCAAACAGCTATCGCGATTTCGCAGGAAGAACCAAAAACCACAGTTTTTCTAAATCAAACCATCGATTTGTTCAGTGCAAATATGAATGTGACTCCGCCGAGCCAACAATATAATTGTGTCAACGAAACGTTCGTTCAAAACAGTTCACCAACACTTTTCAATCAAACCCACAACGTGAGCAAAGATTTCCTTTCGTCGACTCGCCATTTCGATGCTAACAACAAAAACGTGACCATGTTGCCAAAGTTCAATTCAAACGAAACCGTTGTCGTCGATAATAAGTTACCAACAATCAATACGAGTTTCGTTGTTTCGCCAAAGGTAGCCGAGCCGCAATCGAATCAATTGAATGAAACATTTGAAACTGCACATGAGCAGAAAGAAGTCACATTCAAATTGCCAGCAAAGCCAACAAAGACAACCAATCCATTCGAAATGAAAAATCAAGCGCAAATTCAGTTTGATATTTCCGATGATGAGTTCCAATCACCCGGTCGTAAGTTTCGATTTTTTGTTTGTTTATTTCATTTTCTGTTCTCTCTTTTATTTGCCTTGTTATTTTAGTTTGTTTTTTTGTTTTGGTTTTGGTTCTGGTTCGATGCTATGCTTTCATATTTGATTAAATATGCGAAGTCGCGTGCGTATCCAAAATTAAGTGACATCATTTCCGAAAATTTCTTCGCGATACTCCATTGAACATCCTAATTCCATTTAATCTATAGCATTGGTTGGTGCCCATACACTAACGACCGTCTTTCTTTTGTGTTCAATTAATGCGTCTCGCGTTTGTCGGTTGTCAATTTTGGGTGTGAATTCATGTTTTGGGCTTGAAGTCGCATTTGAGTTCGAAAAAAAGTGATTGTCGTCGGCGTCACCGAAAATAAACAACCTAATCTGAACTCTAAAAATAATTGAAATTACGTAAACATTTAAGAGAGCGTGAGCTGTAGAACGTTTAAACAGTTATTAATTAAAGAAGGAAGAGTACGCTTTTGACTGCCTCATCATAGAATCATATATCACGTACTGGTGGCTCGTAAATTGGTGACCATATGTTGTGCTCTGCATTCGAGCCATTCTCCATACAACGATCATCGCATATTGCCGTGATACATTGCATACATAAATAGAATATCATTTCACGGTCTTTGGCATTACTAAGATTTCTGTGAATTTGATTATGCTTTGAAGCATCTTCTCCAAAGTGCAAATGATTTTCGTTTTCCATTTCCGGAATATTTGGAATCAAAATATTATTTTTTGAATGGAAAATCCATTCAAACGAAACAAGTTCAAACATTCAGAACCTGAGTAACCGATCCGCACGCAATACATATAGCCGAGTACACACGCATACAACATACACCACACAAAAGACAATCATGTACGCGCACACTTGCATGCAGCACACCCATTCAAATTGAAACATAAGGAAATAATGTTTTTTGTTGATGCTCAAACACACGCATACTCATGCACGAAACATGCCAGCTAGTTGTCTCGCTCCAGCGCATACAATTGTCGGCAGTGTGATACAGAGACCGTTGGTGTGCTTTGACATTCGACAGTCGTTCATTGTATATGACACATTGATGATGTGTAATCTATAGAAATTGTATAAACACGATAATTTATACTGTAATTTAAAAATAAAAAGTATTTCAAAATATTCACATTTTTGTGAATGACTTTTGCTCCATACATTTGTTGTAATGTAAAGTGATTTTTGATTATCAAAAAGCAAAACGCCATTTAAAGTCAATTGAATTGTGTGCAATACAGAATTGTGTCAGAAAATTGAAGAAAATCCAAGAGTCTCTTTAAGTGAAACGAATTCTCTTATAATTATTGTTGTTGTTGTTTTTTGTGTTACTGAATTCTTAGTTGTACTTGCCTACGTGCATTTGTGTGTTGTGTGCGTTGCGATAAATAGAATGTTTATTCCGGTGCACTGAAAATTAAATGTCTTTTTATGTCAGCTTTAATCCAAAAATATAGCCTAGAGTCTCACAACACTTTCTTTTTCAATGAGTGCAATTTATTTTTGAATTACGACAAAGCGCCGACCATTTTTCTACCCAAAAATAGTCTTACTTGAATTCCAATACATTGTGCGTGATTTTTGCTTATGTTTTCAATGAAATCTCACACAAATTTATCAATTTGGAATGAAAACAGTTCTTATTGATGGAGTAATTATTATTATTGGAAAAAGAAAATTGTAGTGTGATTTGTGCTGTTTTGTGTCTTATTCATACATTTATTCAACGTGAAAAGTGCTGAAATCCATTTGACAAATTGGATTTGGTCATTTGTACAAGAGTAAGTGTCGTTTAGGCCGCATTTGTGTGAAATAGAATATCGATATTCGGATGCAGACGAACAATAGCAACTCATCAACTTGCATTATGTCGTTGATTGTTGGTGCATTCGATTTTTAATCCGATTATAATGAAAGTTATAAGTCTAAATTAGCTGCTTTATGCAATTGATTCATACGAGTCGACCTCGTTAATGCTCAATATGGATAGTGGTTATTTCACCTTGCAATTTCACCTTAATGTGAACAAAAAAGAGATTTTATACTAAAAAGCACAGGTTTAGTGAAAGAAACTGATTTAAATTTTTCGTTTTGTTTGTTTTTTCTTTCGCAGTAATTCTGAATTCAAACGACTTTGATTTTCTACTGTCACGAGGTGCACCATCAGGTGAAATTAATCCGCGTGACTCAATACTCGAGCGATTCGATCCAATTTTAGGCAGAAAATCAATTGTACCTGCGCCATTGATCAACAAAGCCGAACCAATCAGTGCAGCTCCATCCATCTCGACGATTCTCGAAGTCGACTATAGCATCACTGAGTCAGTCAAATCGAATGAATCATTGTCGTCTGAAAAATCTCCAATTGCGAATGCGAATGCGGCAGTAGACGACAGTGGTGACAACGAATCAATCGCGAAACTGGAATCAATCGAAAAGCTAGACACAAACATCGGGGGTGACGGCGATAACTCACAAGCATCAAGCACAACCGAAACGTATGAAACAGCCTCCATTGGTGAACCGTTAAAAGTAATAAAGACTTTTCTTGTTCTTTCTCACAAATTGTTGCCTTTTTGCCATGCGCTAATTGATTCGCTTCCTCTCTCTCTCTCTCTCTTCCTCTCTTTCTGGTAGGCTGATGTCACAATGAGCGTCGGTTTGATACACGACCTTAAAATGGATAACATGAAATCACTGGAGCAAGACAAAGTGGAACCACATCTCAAAATGAACGACGAACACAAAGTCAAACAAGAAATGTATGTATCGATATCAGTTCAACTACTTTCAATTTTATCATAACATTCTTAACACGGAAAGAATTATCTCAAAAACACAGCACGCAAAACTCGTGCAATTCAACTCTTAACTCGTTAACGCGTTAATAATGTAGCGCGAGGCTTGTGTGCCAAGAGCGTGCCATATCTCACTCATATTCACTTAAGTGGATCGCGTATTTTCTCCACGCAGCGTTGAATAAATTGAGAGCTAAATGAGTAAATTACTATAAACACAACAAAAAGATGGAATGAAACAGACATGCGCACATTTCGTTCTACAAGAAGCATGGTTTCAGTGTTTGTTTTCACATTCAGATATAAAGTAATGGCCTTCATGTGTCGATAGACATGGTTTGAGTTCGTCCTGATTTCTTCTTAATCTTTTATTTTACTCGGATTGTGGAATTTATCACACTATCGACAGTCAATTGGTTCAATTGTTGATTGTCCACATCAACGAATTTCCATTCATGGAATTTATACTACCAAAATCAGCTCCATTATACTGGACATTCCAGAAAAAGTACCAACAACTCAGAAATAAAGCAACCCTTGAAATGTTATCTCAATATTTTTGACAATTTTTTTTTCTCCCAATATTTTTTCCAACATTTTATTCAAGGGTCGGAGATATTGAACGCAAACTCAAGGAAGCAGAAGCTCGCGAAGAGGCATTGCTTCGGCGAATCACAGAAAAGGAAAAGGCTTTGAACAAAATGAGGTAAACAACGGCAATGATATTTTTTTTTCACGCATAGAAATGATGTAAAGAAGATAATTTTAAGTAATTGTTTGCTTGAAATTGCAGTGCGGTGGTCGAAAACTATGAAAAAACGATGGTTGAAATGATTTCGGAACGTGAACAAATCACACAGAACTATGAGAAACAATTGATGCAATTGAAAACCGAACGTGACGCTAATTTCCATCATCTCACGTCATTGGAAAACACTTTCTCGGATTTGCATCTGTAAGTATAGATATATGTGATTCACCACAGACGCTGGCGAATGAGTCTTTAACCAATTAGATTTGCAATTAATTCGCCATAAAATATCGATTTTACAGAAAATATGAAAAGAGCAAGCAAATGGCGCTCGAGGTCAAAGACAGCGAAGCCAAGCTGATTGAAAAGCTAGAGTTTAGCCAGCAACAGATGAAACTGCAAGAGCAACGCTATGACAAACTGAAAAATCATGCTCTCTCACAGCTCGAAGGGTATGTATAAAATAAATCCTCTCCGTTAAATTCAAGCAAAACTAACCAATTGTCTTATTCATTTTGCAGTGCCAATGCAAAATTGGAAACGCTTACCAAAGCCCATACGAACGAGATGAAAAAGTTGATGGCACAGTTGAAAAAGGAGGAGATATCGCGGCTATCAATTACGGAGCAATTGGCACAAAAGACGAAGGAAAATGATGAATTGGTGAAAATATGTGATGAATTGATCAACAATGGTTCCGATGGCAGTTAAAGCAAGAATCTTTAGGAAGGCCATATCGATAAGACATAGCGTTGAGTTAGTATTAGGGCATGTTGAAACAGTGAACTGAAATTGGAAGGCCGTCATTGGCATTGCACATACTAATAATACTGTTCGGAAAAAAACAATAAGTAATTCAACAGAGAAATCAATATTATAATTTACATTTCATCCCAGTTTACTTAGGTTATAAATTATTCTCGAACGAATATGCATTACATATTTTATTCAAATTTCCAACTACATATTGCAGACAAATTGGGCGAATCTAATCAAACATGTACTATGAACGAAAGAAAAAATTAATCGGCAATCGATTCCATTTGTATGCTATATCGAACCATCAAATAAGCAAACTACCCAAAGTCTGACCAATATATTTTGTGTGAGCTTCGAGCAAAAATAAAATCATCAATTCCTTTAATTCATGCTCGTCGTCGTTCATATTTTTTTTTCCAAATTGTTAAGTCACCAGAACAACATCATCATTTCTGTAAATCTTATCACTGAGCTAAGCATCTAGATTTGCTATTTAGTAGAAAACATCACAAGAAACTCGATTCATGATATTCGATAAAAAAAAAGAATCTTCTTTAACAGACGATATAAAATCGGCGAGTTTTCTGAATGTGTGCCGATCCGAATTGCTGGCTCGTTTTTCTTTCAAATTTGAATGAAAATAAACCTTTTGTGTACATGAAACAATTTTCATTTTTTATAACTAAATGTTGCCCTATTTGGAAAATCGATGTTGACACAGTGGCAACTAAATTGTCGATAGATTATAACCGAACGCACATACCGTTGACTAAGTAAGTGTAGGGCAAGGTGACAAAAACATTTATTGGCCATTTGATTTTGGTCAATTCTTTTTCCAACATTGCCACACTCAGTAGTCAACACATTGAAAATTATTGGAGAATAGTTGCCGCTGTTGTCGAACTACACCGTGTTTTTCAATACTCGATAGTAGAGTTATTCAGTTCATCAATTGAATTAAAATTCGCGTCCAAATGAGAAATTAATCACTTCTTCACAAATCCACTTATTTGTGATTAGATCGACCTTTTTTTACAGAAATTAATTTTAATTTACGCTTAATTTCAAATGAGATCATGTGGTTTTTGCCATAATTTCAGACAAATTCGTTAGAATTCATCAAGTGCAGAGTTCTAATTTCAATTTTTTTCTTCTTTCGCTAACACAAATTGGTGAAAACAATAATTAAAAGTGAGAGCTTCGATTCTCGTTACATTTAAGTTTGAAATTCTGTTTATTTATTAAAGTGTCAGTTTTAAAATCTATAACATAAATTTAATTCACAAAACACATTTATTAGATGAATTACTTGGAAAAAATAAAATGCTTTTTTATATCAAAAAGACGAAATAGTGGTTTCAATCTTTTGTATGCAGGATTAATACTTGGCGCAGGCACGAGGGTTGGATGGATATCTGTTTCAAGAACTTTTTTCCGCAGAATACACTCTTTCTTTTATGTTTTTATTGTTGTAAATCTATTCATCCATTCAACTGGAATGACATTTGAAATTTATCTGCTTCAATTAATGAGCTAGACCGTATTCATTTTGAATGCAGCATCTACTCATTTTACATTCTTTTCTATCAGACAGCTGATTCGGAACAAAAATGTTGGTGCACTCCATTTGGTTTGTGCACAATGAGGAAGTAAAATTACAAAACTCGGCTTTTCACCTTTTGATCAATAAAATCGTACACAAATGATGAAACGCTTTGAAAGGAGAAGACCTTCTCTAATGTGAAGAGAAAAAAAATATCAGACTGTTACCACGATTGAAATGACCGCGGTGAAAGATAAGCTTCTGACAATAGCTCGGATACTACAATCACCTTAATTTGACAGCGTTTCACTTCGTTCCGTGGATTTATATAGTGGTTGTGCATGGTGATATCTTGATTGTGATTTATTCATCGCTCCACATAATTTGTGCTGAAAACTAATGCAGCATTTTTCAAGTCACATTCAAATGTCGATAGTCGTGCAAAAGATACAGAAGAAAAAATTCATGAAGAAAAAAAACCACACTTCCAAGTGGGCAAAAATGCCATTTAAGCTGGATTTTTTTTTTCTCCTCTCTCATCACTTTCAGTTCATTCCGTAGAAATATACACATCGTATACTATATAGTTCTTTCACTTTTCATTCCATAACCTATTTAGCAAGATGATTCTATATTGCGAACGAGCGAGCACACAAATGGAAACGAACCCATCTGCCCTTATTATCCTTTATTTGCACCCATTCAATGGGGAAATTGAGCGAAAAGCAGCAAAATTAAAGAGACACTGTGTATGTGTGCGAAGAAAGAGAGACTGGAATCGGAAAGTGCTTCAAAATACTTGCATACACGATTAATGCATAAGTACAGTGTACACAAACAAGCGCAAGTGGAAAGAAAGGAGTCAACCGGAATGATGGAACAAGAAACGTCGATGGTAAAGTGGGCAAGGAAAGCAGAAAAAAAAATCCAACTTATTAAAGACATTTCAAGTGTTTCTAATTTTAAATATGTCGCATTGTACAAGAATTCTCTCTGCTACTCGGGTAGAGCTGGGAGCAGTAAAAAAAAATACTATGAGAGATTCTGTTGGTTGAACGGTTATTCGGAGCGTTCAACGATTGCAGTAGTTCCGGAGATGCGATTGCGTGCACGTTAAATACATTTTGGATCCTCCGAATTCGTCGTATTCGGATGAAGTTCAAATTATAGTTTGCTTTTATCCCGACTTTTTTTTTTAAATTTCAACGAATATTTCACGATGATTTTTCAAATATTTTGCATTTTCGCACTGTTTTCTGTGTGTCAATCATCAGACGAAGAGTAAGTAATTCCAAGTGAGTTTAGTGAGAGGTTTTTATTTTCAAAACTTCAAATTGTGCTTTTTTTTTTCGTTGTGATTTTAATCCGTTCAGAACGTCGTTAACATTTGCTGATATTCTGCCTGAGGATCCAAAAACTTATGACAAAATGCGACCACCCAACAAGGATGGCCGCCCAACTGTCGTTTATTTCCATGTTACCGTTATGGGTCAGTTTCAATTGCACTAGTTCGAATTTTGAACTTCAAAACGGAATTGTTTTAAAATTAAAAACACAAGTAGTCAAAAATATTTTAAAATCGATTTTTTTTTGTTGTCTCAAAGGATTGGATTCCATCGACGAAAATAGTATGACCTATGCGGCTGACATTTTTTTCGCACAAACATGGAAAGATCATCGTCTTCGACTTCCCGAGAATATGACCTCGGAGTATCGGTTGATTGAAGTGGATTGGTTAAAAAATATGTGGCGACCTGACTCGTGAGTGTTTCTCAAATAGATATGTTCCATGAAATAAAAAACAGGAAAAATAAACTTCAATACGGACTCTACGAAAATTAAGAAAAAATAGGAGTATGAAAAGTTTTTAGACTAAAACTGTTAATTTTTTCTTCACTTTTTATTTGAAAAAAAAAAAAGTTTCTTCAAAAATGCAAAATCGGTAACATTTCAAACGATGACCATTCCAAATCATTATATGTGGATGTATAAAGACAAAACAATATTATATATGGTAAAATTGACTCTGCGTCTATCATGCGCTATGAATTTCGCAATCTACCCCCATGATACCCAGGAATGTAAATTGCAAATGGAGAGTTGTAAGTGCTTTGGTCATGGATCGATATGTGAATAACTTGTTATATGCAAAAATTGATGCGTTTGCAATTTCTTTTCTTCTATTCTTGGAACGTTGCATCGTTTGTGTACCCAATTTTTTCTCGTTGCTCAGTGTCGCATACTACTGATGACATGATTTTTCAATGGGATCCAAGTGTGCCGCTAGTTGTTGACGATAACATCGAACTGCCTCAATTAGCGCTAATGAAAAATCATACGGCTGACTGTGAGTTGTCTTGGAAAAACTGTAGAAAAAACCTTCTTTTCAAATCTGCTTTTTATTTATGCAGGCACTCAGGTACAGTTGTTCGTTTCCCGATATAGTGATAATATAGTAACAGCATAACGTTATTATTGATATTATTAATATATATATATTATTATGATCGGATCATGATAACCGTTTTGTTGACGTTTTCCACAAAAATTATCACATTTCATGGGGAAAACCATGGGAAATTATTATAATTACGTTATTACTGATAATATTTTATTACTGGAACAACTGTACACTCAGGTTTATTCAACTGGCAATTTTACATGCCTAGAAGTGGTTTTTGTGCTAAAACGACGACTTGGTTATTACTTATTCCACACATACATTCCAACTTGTTTGATCGTTATCATGTCTGTGAGTAAATTTTCTTCACCTAATGAATGGAACATGTCTACTTTTCTTTCTAAAATAGAACGTTCCAATCAAAAGACAAAACAGAAATTGAAGCATATGTGGTTTCTATTTTTAGTGGGTCTCATTTTGGATAAAGCCTGAGGCAGCACCAGCAAGAGTCACTCTGGGCGTTACATCATTACTTACCTTATCGACTCAGCATGCCAAATCGCAGGCATCATTGCCACCAGTTTCATATTTGAAAGCCGTCGATGCATTCATGTCTGTGTGCACTATTTTTGTGTTCATGGCTCTGATGGAGTATTGTTTGGTCAACATTGTGCTTGGTGACACAACAATTCCAAAAATAAATAAGAACAAACAGCAACCACCACCGCCGCCTGTTGGAGCAGCAGTAGCAGCTCAAACGGCGAGAGAATTTACATATGCGCCCACTAAGGTAATGCCTCATGTCAATAGAACTTCAATAACATATTCAAACGTAGCCTTTTTTGTAACTGAAACTTTTGTCATTTCGATTCGATTCCAATATAGAGTTTTCATAGAGATCGCACCGAAAGCGTCGATTCCAATAATCCCTGGATTCATCGGCAATCGATTCGTGCAACGAACGCAGGTTCGTTTACATTGGCCACGCCACGTGGAAGTTCGGTTCCTGCGGTCGAGGATGTCCCAATGTTAACACCACAACAGAACCGTTTGCGTCGAGCAATGCTCATTGATAAATTTTCACGCGGATTCTTTCCATTCCTGTTCACACTTCTGAATGTCATCTATTGGATTCTATTCTATGAATATCTGTAGAGATTTAATGCTTGTAATTAATTGAAATCAAATTTAACGAATCGTCGTCTACCAACTAATTAATAAAGGAGCCGTAGAGAAACCCAAGAATAAATGTTTTCCTTAAATGTACCGAACAAATGAGGCTGTGAGAATGAAAATGGCAATACAGGAATAAACATTCTGAAACGCATCAAGAAAAAAAATTCGTAAAAATGAATCATGAGTTCTGAATATCCAAAAGTGAAACATGAATTTACATGGGCAGCATAGGAGGTTCATGGTTCACTTTTGCGTATTCAGAACTCATGATTCATTTTTGCGATTTTTTTTTTTCTTGATGCGGTTCAGAATGTTTATTCCTGTATTGCCATTTTCATTCTCACAGCCTCAAATGAAATTTGCACATTTTCAGACCAACAATGGATTAAATGAAACAATGGTAAGTTTATTCGGTGATTACGTTTTATTTTATATTGTTAAACATCACAAATCATTTCATTGAAATTTGCATAAATTGCCTAAATTGTGGTTAAAATTGATGTCTCTGCTAACAATCGTTTCATTTTTTTGTTTCGAATAATATTTGAAATTCAAATTGGTTATTTTTTTTCTGTGGACAACAAGTGCAATTCACGATAACATCGATCGAATCGGTTTAAAATTGGATTTTTCTTTAGTTGTTATGTATCGGTATATTGTAAATTGGGTTATAACATTGAATGTGCGCACGATAAATGGTATTTATTGGTTATTCTGTAGTTGATTAAGTTGGTTATCGGTCATTATTTTTCGGTTTTCAGAAGTAGAGACAAAGTATTACAAAGAGTTATTGGTTGTCAATTGTTATAGTCGTGAGGAACTTGATAACACCATTACTAAAATTTCAAATGAATCGTTTGAAAGTCGAAACACAATGTTAGATCATCTAATAAAAGTTTAAATTCCATTTATTCCGAAAGAATAGTTTGTAGGACGGGTTTAGACTAAGAAGCTTAAGGTTGAATGCAGTTTTTTCAATCACATAATTTCTTGGACTTGCTAATCATTCCGAATGATTACCATTTTTCGCTTACTTCTTCTCGCTCCTCTTTAATTTGTCTTTAGAAAAACAATCAATAAAATTGCCTATGTTTCCAAGAGAATCAGCCCATTTCATCATCATTCGTCTCTATCGTCAAATTCCTAGTATCACATTAAAGTTTAAAAACCAATTACAGTTTAATAATTATATCAATTTAAAAGTCGCTCCTAGTGCAATCCAAAAATATGGGTAATCAAACTTGAAATTAATCTAATTAAAGCTGTGTGTGTGTGTTTGGAATGGTTCAGAAAATTCAATTTTCTTTACGTCATACACATAATAATTAAAACGGCCAAGGGAGAAATGTATAATCGTTTGCTAATATGTAGGCGAAATATTCTCAACATATTTATGAATAAAACATTCATTCACGTTGACATTGTTTTCTTTGAATCTCTATATACTCAGCTCACCAGACAGATAAATTTCATTTCTATCGGCTGTTTCTATTGTTGGTGTGCCTAAGCCATGATCCACTGCAACAATTGATATTCGGATTTAGAGATCGGCTTGTTGTGGACCAGTCAGAAGTTCGTGTTCAGTTTTGGCTTGTTTTAACCAATTGCGTAGATCTTGGGTGCGTTCAACCAAACTGGTTTTGTATTTCTGCGCTAGCGGTGACTGAGAAACCATTGTATTTGCAGCAATCGATTGTGAAAGCATTGCTGATGCGTTTATTGTGGGCGACGAATTGATGGCATTCGAAATGCGACCCGACGCCAACTGACGATACGTTTCAAGACGATCGGCCAACGTTATGACCGGTTGATTCAAAGCATAATTAATCGACGTGGCATTTTGATGTTGATTCGATGCTTCGGCTGCTTGAAAAATGGTTGAAACCTGGGTGTTTGGCCATACGATATCTTGGTAGAGAAGCGATGGTGGTGGAGTTAAACCTGAATGGAAGACAAAAAACCAATAAAAATCGCGTAATTGAATCAAAATCCAAACTAGGTACCTTGAGTTTGCTGCTTGCTCAAAATATCCCAAATCTCTCGAATCTCCGCATTCAAATGTTCTAGGCTGTTTATTATTTCGGTCGATTCTTGATACATTTCCTTGCGTTGACCATGACCATGGGTATCGCTTGCAAAATCAGTGCTACTGAAACCAGAACTTGAGTGAGATGACAAATCGCTAATTGTGGCATCGTCTCGATTATTGTCGGTGGTGAATGGGTTTGTGTGCGACTCTTTGCTGTCATAAAGCCGTTGCAATGATTGTTCCAGATGACGCAATCGAATGACTTTTTCGCCCAATAATGCACGAGTGCGATGCAAATTCACTTCCATTTCCGTCAATTCCTTTTCCTCTTGAATCATTTGATCGACCGTGTGTCGACTTGCGGTCTTGTGATGGTGTTTCACTTCGCGTTGCCGGGCCCGGAAGTTACTGCGCTGAGTTCGAAGCGATTCCTTGGCACGACGCACTGAATCTCGTTCCAAATGGATGCGATGCTTGAAAAATTCCAATTCAGAGCTTGAAGCACCATGATCCTTGCCACCCTCCACATTGAACGGATACCGCAGATGGTAAGTGGTATCGAGCGAATTGTCGGGAAATTGATCTTCTAAGTCTTCCAGTTTTTGCAATTGACGCCGCAAATTTTCAACTGGCGTACAAGGCCGTAATTGTGCATCGTTAGCTCGTACATTGTGCGACGAATTCAGCCGTGAAGTCGATGCCGATTTGGTTCGAGTGAATGTTTTCTTGCGTTGTCTTCCGTGTGAATCACGAACATTGTTATTGTTTTCTTGTTGGAATGCCTCCGAATCCGAGTTGCCATTGTCTGCGAATGCTGTAGCGTGCGGCACCGATCGGCGTGAATTATGATGGTAATTGTTTGAAATTGTGGTATCACTTTGGCTAATCGATGTGTCGTCCGGGCATTGTTGGCTTTGAATGTGAGATAAATATTTGGCGGCAGCGGTGAACTTTTTGTTTGGCCTCTCAATCAAATGGGCGGATCGATCTCGTTCTCTTTCGACCGATTTATCGCGTGCCATTTCTTTTCGCTGTATGCTTAGCGCTGGCGGCTTTCCAATATCGTTCACTTTGGCACCGCCAGTCATAGACACAGATGAACTGTGCGCATCATTTGATTGTTTATTTGAATTGGAGCGTTCTGTCTCCGAGCCTGTGGTTAAACTTTGTTGCTCACGCCGTTGATGGCGTCGCTCCAACGAGATTTTAACATCCGTTTTCAAACGTACGTATTTGTCCTTCAAACATCTATATTTGTCTTCCAGTAATCGCTTTTCACATCGAATTTTCTCATACAAATGATTCTCGCCGGTTTCGCGCATTTTTTGTCGCTCCAATTCCAGTTCGTGTGCCAGTTTCTCTTTTGTTTGCTGCAAATTCATGACATGGTCTTTTCTAATCAAATCTTCTTCGCTTTTTAAATCACGTTCCAATTCCTGCAGAATTATTTGATGGTTTTCTTGAAGTTTTTCCTCCGCCAAACGATGTTGTTGATTTAAGATTTTTCGCTTCTCTTCAAATTCCTCCTTCAATTGCTGCTTAAATTTCTCGACGTCATTATTGTGTTGTGACTCCAACTCAATCTTTCGGTCGTTTTTCTTCTCTTCCAATTCTTTTTCAAGGGCTTTCAATTGATTTTCATGCTCTTTGTCGAGAGCAGCTCGTTTTTTCATGAAAATTCTTTCCAATTCAGCCTTTTCTTCCTGCCATTTCAAATCTAGGTCTTCGTGATCGTGCTTTAAATCTGTTGATTTCTGACTTTGGATTGATTCAACTTTTGGCTGCTTAATCAACAAATTATCGTTTTGCACTTCATTTCGTTGCTCTTCAGCTTCGAATACTTTTAACCGATGTGATATTATTGGTTTTGGCAAATCGATTTTCTTTAAATCCTTTTCACCATCGAATATGCGTCGATTGTTTGCACTCCTTATTGAAGCCACCGACTCTGAATCGGTATCCTGCTCGTACATTGGCTTGATTCGGCCAGATTCTGCATTACGATCGAATAGAGTCGTTAAACTTTTTGCTGTTGTAGGTATTGACTCTTTATTTTCGTTAGCTATTGCTTCGTTTTGTTGTTGTGCATTTCGATTTAAAGTCATTGTTATTTCCTTAACATGCGTTTCAATGCCATCCACGTCCTCATTGAAGTCCCAATCGGCGTTCTCCTCCACTTCGTCATCATCGTCATCGTTTGACGATTCATCGGTTGTAACGAGGCCCTTGTACAAATTGGCCTTGGCCGATTCATTCAAATTGAATCGGACACTTTTTCTGTCTTCTGCATCTGCATCTGATGGCTTGCTGCTACTATCTGGCCTAGTTCGAACATCTGTTAAACTTGAATCGCGCAAAATTGATTTAACATTCTTTCCATTGTCCGAAGCGGTTGCCACATTTTTCAAATCATTTTGCGATTTAGAGCCTTCCGGAGTGTCCGCCTTTTTTATATTCGATTTCAAAAACATCGAACCTTTGCCGGACAACGTGAACCCTTTGAATGTTGCCGTTGACGATGCATTTTCTAGATTTTTGACCAATGGCTCTAATCGATTCTCCGTTTTTATCGACAAACCAATTTGCTGTGGCGAAGGTAATGGATTATTTGTTGGTAAATTTGTAATTTCAAATCGCTTATTTCGAGCACTTTCGATGGGTGCCAATGGCAACAGACCACCGGAATTGCTCCGTTTTTCTAACGGTGCCAAAAATCGGCCAGTATTTTGTAATGACATATCTTTTCGTATTGCACCGGTACTGGTTGATATAGGCGAAACGTCGGTTATCAAATCCGAATCGTCGCCCTGCAAACTCTTGATGCCCGAGTCAATTTGCGATACGTCCTACAAACGAAGAAATATTCAAAATGAGTTTCATTCAAACTTTGGTAATGTGTAAAATTGCATTACGTCGGATAAATCGTTGATCCCTGTTGCACCGAATTTCCGTGCCTTTTCGACTAATTTTTTGTATTCAGCATCAAGCGGATGCTCCCACTGTCGTGCTTTTGTCTTGGTATTAAAGTAATAATACCCATCACATTCGTCATTGTAGCTGGAACGAGAGGAAAAACATTGTTTTAGGTCAATTTTTGCATAACAAACTCCAAAACGATTCTATTGAAAAGTTTTTGCAAACAACTTTTTCTTCGTAGGTTTTTTTTTCTTTTCTAAATAAAGTTTTCTCTTGAGTTGTCTCACCATATTTGCCATTCGGGCGGGATGGCTTGCAGCAAACCTTCTCGGGCTAAATATAAAAGATGTGGTTCTGTTTTTGGATTGATTCCAATTTGAATGGCGTACTCGTTGATTTCTATGAGAAAAAAAAAATGAAATATACGTGTTTATAAAAATGTTATGTTATAAGCGTTCAACCAAGGGAAAAAGAAAGAGTTTTTCGAGAGAATATTTGATTCGCCAGCAATACATGGAATTTGGCATACAAATCGACATATTTTTTTTTTCTTTGGCCTGAAAAGCATTCAATACGTTCTTAGCTCAACAGAATTTAACACGTAAAATGGGATTATATAATAAGTATGCGTCCTGAATATTTGAAAAACTTGGTGCCGTCAAATGGCAAGCCCATTTCAAATAATTACGTAGGTTTCAATTGAACCGTTTCATGACATTGTAAATTTGATTAAAATCGGCAATGATTGAGTTGATAAAAACCACGCACATACATCATTTTTGACCTCTAACGACTTTGAATTTCTACAGAATATTATAACAAATCTTCAAAGTGATGCAAAACATATTATATGTAGCAATAAGGCATACGAGTGACACCCACAATTCCATATGTATATTTTCGTTTACATAAGACCGGTCCAGCACCACTTGATTCGATCATAACCGTTTGCAGATTGTAACATGCAATTGCTTTGATATTTCAAGTCGCGTGTAATGTTGCAAGCGAAACTTGCCAAGCTTCATAAATGAACACCATAATGAAAAGATGCTGGAAACCGGAGACACCATTACTGTATCGTATAACGGACGATTTTCTCGTGTGGTTCCATTTCTTTCTTTCTATTGAATGCTGTCGATAAGTATTATTTGCAATACATTTAACAACTTAAAATCGTCGATTCAACTGAAAATGGTATGAAATTCACTCTGGGAATTTGAGCTCTCGAGTGTAAGAGTCTTCAGCAAAATATTTCATTCACTTGAAGTGAAAGTTTCCCACTACATAAATTCATAATGCAATGCAACGGGCAAAGTCAACGACTACATAAATGCTTTTATTCAGAGTCAAGTGAATGCAGTTACATAGCAGATTATGTAAACTGGAAATAGAAACTCTGAAGAAGGATCGAAATGGCGCTTTTTAAAATGTGCACCGATGTAAAAGTTTCACTTCTTTATGAAAAGAGTTCAAAACAATTTTTTTTTCTTGCATTTAAATTACAAAAAAGACAAAGTCAGCCGCTTACAGGATATGCACGACACGAATTTCAACGATAAAACTTTGATTGTTATTTCGTTAATTTTTTTTTCTACGAAAAATTTGCCGGTGAATGGAGACAAGATACTAGAATTTTTTTCTCGATTTTTTAAAATCATAAGTCTTTTCTACTTGTATGATAATTATCATTTCTGTTTGAGTATTTGATATGTTCCCGTTTCAGTTAAATGTCTGTAAAATGACATGTAACATTTTGATTTAAAAAAAACCCCTTATAAAAATGCTTATCGCTCGATGCAAAATGGTTAGACATTATGTGAAAACCGTTTATATATTACAGTAATTGAGTCGACAATATTGTCGATTCCTCTCGTTATAAAGTGCTTTGTAAATAAACTTTACGTATAAAAAATACATCAAACAGCTGCGCTGCTTCTCGCATACTGAATACAAAATATTATTTTTCATTTGATGTAAATCTCGATGAAAATGTAGATGGAAACACATTTGTGTATTGAGTGAAAAAAAAGGATGTATGTAAATGGCATTACAAAGCATATTTCATGTTCAGAATTCCTCAAAGGAGATGCTCGACATTGTATAGCATCCGAGTTTTCGAATTCAAATTCTTTGAATTATTCTGAATGTGCTTGTGCATTAGGGCGGGTCGATTTGTAGGGAGTGAAAAAAATCGACCAAATACCTATGATTTCCGTGTTCTATGGGTCATTCCAAGAA